GGGGGGGGGGGGGGGGGGGGGGGGGGGGGTTGGTGTCATTTTCAGAGCCTACCACCCTAATTTTTTATACGCAGGTTGCTCTTTGAAAATAGAACAATTGCCAGAAATCTTGCATAGCTACGTTCTTAATAAATCTGACTAATCAGTATCTGAGAAATGGTTCTTGGAATTAACTATTCTAGTCCAGGCACCTGCCAGAGAAGCTTGTTATGATCCTATTACTAATGTCTGCATTATCAAAGGCTTAATATTTAGCTGTTTGGGAATGGAAAAAATCTTGTCTCATCTGACATTATGATCTTGGATAAAGAATTTTAAAAAATTGTTATTATGTATGTGCATTTGAGCATACCAGAACTCTAAATTGGAGCCCAGCGACTGTAATTTGTTTCAGATTTAATACTTCTCCCCACCCCTATGCATACAGGGAGGTAGATTGTGCTGAAAGATAATGAGTCAAATTGACATTTTAGAAAATGTACATTACTAAGGAGTGCTACAGCCAGAATGCTTAGGTATTGGGTTATTTAGCTAACTGTATAAAAATCGTGGGTACAAAATCAGGAAGTCCAAACAAATAATTACTTCCCAGCATTAGCTGATTTTTCAGAATTACCTTTGTACCATTGTATATTTAACAAAGAATAGCTCATAATTCCCTTCTATTAGAATAACAGAAGGAAATACTTTTTTTAAGGCAAAAGAACGCTTAACATATGCTTTTCAGAGATAAGATTAATAATAAGGAAGATTTAATTTTGTCACTGTATTCTAAGATTTACAGTACATTTCCATTATATTCTATGTGAGTTCTTAGACAAAATCCAGTCAAACAAAGGAGGAAAGAACAGAGATTGCTTTTTGACCTTCTGCATCAAAAACTGCTCACAGTTCTTATCAGTGTGGTTTTCTTCATGTTTGTCATCGCTCTGTTTGGAAACAGCCTATGCTTTTTTCTAATCAAGGTAGACCCAGGTCTTTAGACCCTAATGCACTTCTTCCTCGGTCAGTCGTACATCATGGACTTCAGCCAGGTCCTTGCAGTTGTTCCCAAGATTTCTCATATGTTTGTGAGAATTAGGTTGAAAGCCTGTGGGCAGCTAATTCAGCTGAGGAACAGGTGTTGTTCTAGTAACATGGCTAACACTGGACTGCAAGTAGGCTACTACATTCTGTGACAGCTGCACAGGATGTGAAGTCTTCTTCAAGGGCAACTTCATTCAAAGTGAGTTGCAGTAGTTTGAGAAATGAAAAGGGTAAATGTCACTGTCTTCACTGCCTCCTGTTCCAGGAAAGGATGTAACTGGTAGAGCCACCAAAGATGGCCAAAAGATTTTGTTCCAGTAGAAGCCAGGAATTGAGGAAAAACCCCAGACTGCACAATGATTCCTATAGGAATTGAGGGGGATGTGTGAGAGAAAAGCTTTTGTACAGTCTGAATGGCCTTTATAAGTACATTAAAATTAAGCAGTTAAGGTTTTAATTTTGGACATATTTTAATTTGAGAAAAAATAATCACAAAAACATAGGCTGTGCATCCTTTCACTCCAGCTGTAAATATTGACATATTTAATGACTCTTACTAGAAAAAGATTTGTCAACCAAAATATCTCATTAATTTAGAACAACTGATATATGATTTTTTTTGCTAAAAAAAGAACATTGCACAAGGTATAATCTGTATGAGAATACATATCTTCAAATACTTTTAAACAATGACTATGGATGGGAGACTAAATAATATTTGAAGATTGAATTAAATCAGTCAGAACAATTCAAAGCTTTTCAGCCACTTCCAGACCAGGAGATAGAAAACCACATAATTTAAAGTATTATAATACTTTGTGTGCAGAAAGAAAGGGTGAGAAGAGTATCCAGAAAGCATTTTAGGCTGTCTTGAAAGTCACTAATTCAGAGTCACTATCTGTCAAAAAGAACACTGAACAGAATTTTGCTGAAAAATCAGAAACTCCATGAATTTCCTGTGATTCCAACACAGACCACCAAACAATGTTGTATATGCGATAAAATTTAGTTGGCAAGATTGTCACTGTATTTTTCCTTGGATGGCAGGGTGCTAATGATGGTATATTAACAGTAACAGAAGATAACTGTATGTATGCCTTCAGAATAGAACTTTCCTTTATGAATATTAATTGATTCAAATTATAACTGCTCTGCTTAAGCAGAATGCTAAATGCTAAAAGCTTTCCTGAACAAGGAAGCCAGATGCCTCATTTCAGCTTATTTTTGCTATTCTGCAAATCTGTAAACATGGAGATGGCTTTACAGTTTAGCGTAACCTGTTTGAAGTAGATGGGCTGAGATGAGTGTCTGTTCCCTGAGAGAAGAGGTAAAAACATGGAGGAAACTCAGGAAAATCTAAAGCTAGGGGCTAGAGCACATGATGTGCTGCTCCTTGTGTTATATCCAAACGCCACCATGCTTCCACAACTTCATGAGCAGATTGCAAAAGGGAGGCACCATCTGCGGTAATTTTTTTGGCTTTCTGGATAAATTCAAGAATTTTCAGAGTCTAGGAGCTAAGGAACATGTCAGGGGAGAGATACATCTTTTCTGCTTTCTTTCAGGGCATAATCTGACACCCCTGCAAGCATGAAAGGATAGCATATTTTTGCTAACATGTTCCTCCAGCCTGTCTCAAAACATGTGGGTTTATCTTTTCCTTCCCTGCATGGCAGGTCAAAAGTTTCCTCTGAGCAGACATAGTCCTTTCAGGCTTCCTTAGGCTGAATAAGGATATCTAAAATAATACTAGATCCCTTCTATCCAAAATAAAAATGCTATCTCTCTGCCAAGCTTCACAACTCGTTTCAACAACTGCCCAAAAGAACATCTCTTTGCAAAGCCTTGAATATTTTAAACAATATTGGCCTTCATCCCAACTGAAGGGCCTAAACCCTGCCTTTCCTGGGGTACTGGGGCACTCTGAATTAATATTTGGACGACTTAGCTGTTCTATGTTTTTGCAAATCAACTACAACCAAATGTCTATGATTGCAGCCTAACACTATATTCATCTTTTTAGCAACTACATCATACTGTTACAATTCAAAGTCCTTTTCCCACATGCTGCATTTGGTTTCTTTTTTCCTAAATGCCTTGCGTATGCCTCAGTTAAAGTGCCTTCAGTTATTTTCAGCCCACATCTCTAACCTATCAAAATCATTCTGAATTCTGGTTTCAGAACAGTAGCTATCCCACACAGCATCATGAGAGTTATGTACAGAAATAGAATGGACTTTTGTAGAAGAAACCTTTGGGAAACTGAAACACAGATTTTTCACACATTTAAGAGTTTTCACACATTTAAGAGCTTCTGACATATGCTGCCTTGGGATCTGCAGGAAGAATAGCTCCAACTGTTTTCAAAGGAAATTCCTTGATTTCTACCAAGTTCTTTTTTTTATGGCCTGTTTCTGTTTTAGAATATTCCAGTTTCAAAGAACCCTTTGAGAACAAGATGCCCCATACTTGAATTATACCATTATTGCTGTTAAAATCCTCCGTTAGAAGTTACAAGGCAGGAGTTCGGTTGTACCATACATCTTGGTTGAATTTTATGTTTAAATGCAAACTGTGCTCTACTGAACTCTCTGCTCCCTCCAGGTAGGTGCGTAAGGATCCAAATCAGAGGAATGTTGGCTATTTAAAGGGTTTCAAGTGAAAAAGCCAATTTTCTCCAGTTGTGATTTACTGCTGGCTCAGAGCCAGACATCTCCTGAGTATAAATAAGAGCACAGATTTGTATCCTTGTCCTGACCATTGAACATGGCCAAGTTCTGTAAGTATTTTATTTTCTGCATAGAGGTTATTTTAGGAAACTTCCGTGTTTTGGGGTATTGAAGTATAACTCTGAGCCTTTTAACTTGAATAATAATTTAAGCCATGCATATGATGGATTTCCTTTGGGATCCAAAGCAAGAAGGTCCTTTGGAGTGCTCCTGTTGGCAGCTCCTTAGCAGTTTTATCTTCTGGATCATGTGGTTGCCTTCTGCAGTGGCACTGCACTCCCTGGAAAAGATCTTACATTGATTGGGTTAAGGAATTGCTGACAGGGGTTATGAGCATATCTTTGCATACTCCAAAGCTATGATTCCCATGAGTCACTGCTATTTGTTTGGTTAACTTTCTGAGCAAAAAAATAATTTGCCCAAGACATGGCTGAAAAGCCTTTTAGAGAGGTTTAGAAAAAAAAAAGGGGGGGCGGGCGGGCTGTACTTATGGTCCATGACTTGACAAAAGGATCTGATTC